ACTGCTAAAACGCAGTTTCAAATGCAATTACAAACTGTAACCCTGACTGCGCCGTAGTTTTCTGTTTTTTTTTTTTCTTCTGCTGAACGGTGAATGTGTCATTTTTTTTTTTTATTTTTTTTTTCTTGTCTCTGTGATGTGCTACCGGTTGTCCTACGCTCGGCCATAAAGTCCGAGGCTCGGGAATTATCGGGCTACCGGTAGTCCGAGCTTCGGACTTGATAGCTGAGCGAGGTACTGGTGGTTTAATATGGCTTTTGTTTGTCAAACCGGGCTTTTGTTTGTCAAGCTGAGAGTTGTATTCGCTTGGTCAAGCAGATCACTCTGGGACCAGGTCAACCAGGTCACTTTGGGGCCAGGTCAAGCAGGTCACTCTGGGGCCAGGTCAAGCAGGTCACTCTGGGACCAGGTCAAGCAGGACACTTTGGGACCAGGTCAAATGTGAGGAGGTCACTTTGGGACCAAGTCAAGCAGGTCACTTTGGGAGGAGGTCAAGCAGGTCGCTTTGGGACCAGGTCGAATGTGAGGAGGTACTTTGGGACCAGGTCAAGCAGGTCACTTTGGGACCAGGTCGAATGTGAGGAGGTCCCTTTGGGAGCAAGCTGAGGACGATCAGGCCCATTTCGGGAGCAGGTCAAGCTTGTCACATGGGGAGGAGGTCAAGCATGTCACTTTAAGAGCAGGACAAATAGTGAAGAGACCTCTGTTGGCTAGATGGATGAAATGAGGCTCATGTTTGTGTTGCCACTGTTCTTCCAGCCTCCAACACGACTGACGGGAGAATTCTAATAAGGTACTCTGCAGGCTGTTGCCACCCTCGAAAAGTGCTCATTTTGGTGCCTGCACAAGAGAAAGTGGGCACAGAGGGCTGCGGCACCCAGGAGCAAAGGAGGCCGAACACCTCGGTGCAACTGTATCCACTTCCTGCGTAGAGCGGGCTGGTACATAGAACTGTTTGTTCCGTACTATGTAGAGGTCGGCTATGTGTGCCTCGGCTGGTACTATGTGCAGTGGCTGCTACTAAGCAGGTTGGCTGGCATGTGCACTTCGTGCTATGTGTGATGGGCGATACGCTGTGTGCTGGGTGGTATGTCCAGCGCGCCGTGGGTCGGGTGTCGTGTGCAGCGTAGTAGGAGGTGGTGCTTTATGCAATGAGTGCCATGAGCAGTAGCCCATAAGGCGGGTGCCATCTGAGGTGGGCCTGTGGTACTATGTCGGTACTATGACTATGTCAGGAGTGTGTGGCACTATGTGGGCTCTATGTGGGCTGAGTTCAGTACCATGCAAGCAAAATACCAAACCCACTCGGATTTGCTGTCTCGCTGAATGGCAAACACATGTAGGAAGACAAAGGAATAGAGACACCCACACACACATGC